TCCGACGTCGATCTCCAATGCATTGAGGCGATCGGAGGTGTTGGAGGAGTTGGCATCGGGGGCGGCGACAGGTCGTTGCTCCAGCTGCTAGAGGCGGCTGTTGAGTTGAGCTAATGCCTGGTTGTGCGTCTGATTCGCGTCGCTGAGGCTGTGGATGTCCTCTTGCTGTGCAATGCACGTTGCCAGGAGATCCGTGAAATGGGAAAGGAGTAGAGCGATCTTGCTTTCACTCTCTTCCATCTTACCATTCTCGGCCTCGGCTCACCAGTCCGCTGCCATTGTGAGCAAAGCTCGCTCTCCGTTGAATATCTTCTTCGTTAATTTCGTTCTTCATCGGCAGCCTTTGTTGTTGCCTCGTCTTGCTGGCGCTGCTGTTCGATTGCCAACAGACGTGCCTTCTCGGCGTCCTCTGCCTTCTTTTTCTCTGCGGCTGCTTCCTCATCCGCCCGTTTCTTGGCTTCGGTAAACAAAGCCATCATCCGGGCCTGATAGGCCTCGGCCGTTTCCCCGGGCTTCTGATCCATGCCGGCTGTTTGTAAGCGCGTGAGCAAAGATCAGGCCGGAGGACTGCTGACGTGGTACTCCCTGGTGCCCATCGTTGTCTCCATCCAACTGACTCATCGAGAAGCCCTCCTCGTCGCCGCTGCCTGTCAAGCTGCTGTTGCCATCGTCGTGAAGCCTCCTCCACCTCTTTCCTTCCTCTTCTTCTTCTTCCTCTCCTCCTCTCCTCCTCCTCCTTTCCTATTCTTCTTCTCCTATCCTCCTCCTCCTCCTCCTTTTGTCTTCTTCTCTCCTCCTCCGCCGCCACCTCCTTTCTTCTCCCCCTCCTCCTCCTCCTCCTCCTTTCTTCTCCCCCTCCTCCTCCTCCTCCTTTCTCTTCCTCCTCCCCCTCCTCCTCCTTGCTTCTCCTCCTCCTCCTCCTTTCTTCTTCTCCTCCTCCTCCTTTCTTCTCCTGCTCCTCCTCCTTTCTTCCCCTTCTTCTCCTCCTCCTCGTCCCGATTTCATTGGATTTGTTTATTCGGCGAAGTGCCACACAGCCACATCACTGCGCTGAAAAGCGCCACCTGTCGGGATAGGCGAGCTGCGGTGAAATCCCGCCGCTAGTTAACCTACTGACGTGCGGGATTCCTCTCTCTCTCTCTCTCTCTCTCTCTCTCTCTCTCTCTCTCTCTCTCTTCCTCTATTTTATTTTATTTTTCATCATCGCCATACAAAACCCGCAGGTCCTCTTTCTCCTCCTCTTCTCCTCCTCCTCTCGTCTCGTCTTCTTCTTCTTCTCTCCTCCTCCTCCTTTCGCCTTGTCCTCCTCCTCCTCCTCCTCTCGTCTTCATGTCTTCTCTCCTCCAACTCCTCCACCTACTTTTGCCTTCTCCTTCTCTCCTCCTCCTCCTCCTCCTCCTCCTCCTCATTGTCCTTTTTCTTGTCTTCCGTCATCCCCATACAGTACCGGCACGTCCTCCTCCTCCTCCTGCTCTCATCTTCTTCTTCTTCTCTCCTCCTCCTCCTCCTCCTTTCGTCTTGTCCTCCTCCTCCTCCTCCTCCTCCTCTCGTCTTCTTCTTCTTCTCTCCTCCTCCTCCACCTACTTATTCTTCTCCTTCTCTCCTCCTTCTCCTCCTCCTCAACCTCATTCATCATCGTCTTTTTTTTTCCGTCATCCACATACAGTACCGACAGCTCCTCCTCCTCCTCCTGGTTTTTCTTCTTCTTCTCCTTTCTTCTCCTTTCTTCTCCTTTCTTCTTCTTCTTCTTTCTTCTTTTTCTGCTTCTGCTTCTGCTTCTTCTTCTTCTTCTTCTTCTTCTTCTTCTTCCTCCTCCTCCTCCTCCTCTAACCCCTCCCCTCAGCGGACTGGCTGCTGAAACACACCCTCTCAGCGAGCGCGGTCCAAACCCATCTTCAAAAAAAAAAAATAAAAAAAATCCTCGGACATTTTTTGGCTCGTCTGGTTTTGCCGGACGGACCCCCCCCGGTTCGTCTGGCCCGGTCCATCAGGCCCGGCCCGTCTCGACCGGGCGTCGGCCTAACCCAGAAAATTAGTTTTTAATTTTAATTTTAATTTTAGTTTTCAATTTGTTTTTTTTTTGTTTTTTGTTTGTTTTTTTAATTTTAAAGGCTAATTCTTTAAGCCCAACCAATTCAATTACCTATCGAATCTGGACAGGACGGCCTTTCAGGCCTTTTTTATTGCCATTATAGTATATATTACGGGGAACCCCATAGCAGCCACATCCATGCTCAAGCCTCCCACGAGGGAACATGCGGGAGCTGCACCCACCAGCAGGTGCGATACCTGCTACAGCAGGTGGGTGATACCGGCCAGGTGTCAGCCGGTATCATCAGAACCGAGCTTCTTCGATGGGCCAGTCACAGTGCCTCCCCTCCGGTCCCCTCCCCCTTTGAACTTCAGCAGTCTCTGCTCTGTGCCACTCGGGGGGACCAACGGCATATCTCCAGGTGGCGGGCGCCAAGCTCGCCCAGGAAGGTACATGAGGCCAATGGGATTGAACCCAATACCTCCTGAATGCCACTTGCGTGCCTTACCAACTGAGCTAGGCCGCTGGATCAGATAAAGAATTTCGATGTGACCCTGAGGCAAAAGTTGTTCAGTTTATTTTTCTGCATAACATAGTTTTGTTCGGCTTTTTTTTTTTTTTTTTTTTTTTGGGCTGGGACCTTCCCTGGTCCTTGCACGGTGGGGCAGCCCAGGAAAACAGGGTGATCCGGGCGACCCGGCCAGTAGCCTAGTGCGAGGCTGTTACATGCTGCGACTGCAACAGGCTGCACGGGCCATTTTCAGGCCCGTGTCGTTTTCAGCCTGAAAGCCTGAAAACGAGGGCCTACAGGCCGTGTGTCGTTTTTAGCCTAAAAGCCTGAAAACAAGGGCCTACAGGCCCTGTGTCGTTTCAGCCTGAAAGCCTGAAAACAAGGGTCTACATGCCCTGTGTCGTTTCAGGCTAAATCAGGGTCTTTCCGGCCCTGAGTATTTTCAGCCTGAAGCTGAGGGCCATTTTCAGGCCCTCATCAGTTCGACCTGCCCCGAAACTCAGGCACCAGACGAGGGTTTTAGCTCAGGCCATTTTTGGCCTATTTTCAAGACAACCTTCGTTTGAGCTTCAACCCCAGGGTCTGGCAGGTTTTGGCATTGGCAAGAGCAGCCTCCTGGGCGGGCCAGCACTCACACATACGAGTGTCACGGGCTATGGCCACCAGCAAGCCAGTGCCCGCCCTAAGTGAAGGCGGGCCTGAATATCCCCGTGGGGCCTGTTTTCGACATTTTTTCCATACGTGGGTACTCAGACAGCTGGTTTCAGAGCAACGTGAGCCTCCAGGCTCTTTCCAGAAGCAAAGGGCTGCGCTGTACAGTTGAGCCCAGGGCTCAGTTGGTTGCGCCCTCAGCACACACTGTGTGAGGCCGACACATCAAGGACTGGCCGCGAGCCAATGAGAGAGCAGCATTGTCGTCACACATGCGTCGCGAGCCAATGGGAATGTTGCAAAGTTGCAAACACTTGCAGGCTGGGAGGTTGCCTGGACGTGCTTAACTGCACGAGGCCCAGGCTAGTATCTGAAACTGGGCCTGGGCGAAGACACTTGGGGCCAGAGGTAAGCTACTGGGCGCCCACACGCCTGGCCAGGCCAGCCAGCAGCGGACACACTTTGGAAAGTGTGTGCACCGTGGGAGGGCATTCTGGCCTTGGCAGGCAATGCGGACACGCTGCTGCATTGCTGTGCTAGTGTCTGCACGGGCGCTGAGGTTAGGGGCGCTGCTGAGGCAGCGGGCGCGCGGCAGCCATAGCCGGGCTGCAGGGGCGCAGGCAGGTGATGGCGAAGGTGGTCTTCGGGTAGGAGGCGCATGAGGTGGGAGACGAGGGGTGACGAGGAGAGAGAGAGAGAACGTACCTGGTGTATGTTGGTGGTGGGCATTGGTGTTGACGTCACGTACATTGGTCTTCGACTTCAATGTGATCCTGTTGCAAGAACGTAGATAGGAAGATGGGCTGAGTAGAGTAGGCTCGGCGCTAGGCGCCAGACAGTAGGAGCGACATTGGATACAGTATTGGTTTAAACAAGGAGAGTCGGCATTGACACTCAAGTTCATTGTATTGCTCCTTACACATACAAGGCTGCCCACATTGATGGTGGTTGCGACAGCTGCCCACATCCCCGTGTGCCTTAATGGCCCACTTCCACATTATAACAGGAGCAGATTAAAAGGGCAGGTATGCTCCTATGCATTTCTCTTCAGATCTTCATACTACTGTTCATTTCACTTCCGATCTTCAGTTTATACTTAGTCTTTGTGTCTGTCCCTCATCTTCATGCTTCCATTAATTTCACTTGTGTGTGTGTGCTCAACGGGTTAAAGAGTACACAGAGCCACTTTCAAAGAGACACCCATCCCACGAATGTGTGAAGTGTGGAATGTATCTTCAGCTAGAACTTGGCATGGTACACCTGCAGCTTGGCGCACGCCATTGTTTGTCCCGAAGGAGTCTTCCATTTGATTTGTCATTTGCATCTTCTGCCAAGTGGCATGAGCGATTGAAATCTATGACCCGTGTCACACGAAGACAAGAAACGACAGGAAAATAAAAACACAAACAAAGAAACACCCAGTTCGAGAGAGAGAGAGTCAGACAGAGAGGTTTTGGTTATGGTTCAATAGTTGGAGAGCACTAATGTTGGCATTACCATAGTTCAAGTCCTGCTTCTTCCTCCTCCTAGTTCTTCTTGTACTTTCGCCTCCCCTCATCTGTGCATGATTAAGCGGGGAGGCCCTTTCCATGTACGTCTCCATCCCGCTGGTGCCTGAGCTCAATTTCGGTCTGCTGTGATCTTTCCACGGCCTTTCCCATAATGATTGACCTCAGCTTCCCAGCATGTCCGACCTTTGGCTCGACACGTGATATGCAACATCAAGTATGTGGGCCAAGTTATGACAGTCATTGTTCTGCTATACAAAGGTCACAGGTTGTTGAGAGCAAACGATGAAGCCTTTACCTGAGACAAGCAAGGGCTTCCACCCACAATATCCACTTGCAAAGAGCTGTCAGCAACAGACCCCTTCTTCGGGGGCTCCTCCCCAAAATCACTTGAGTGATCACTCTGCTTCTGACTGCGGCTGTACTCACTACACCTCAAGCGACCATTCTTATCATCACTCTCTTCATCCTCATTGTCGTTGTCACCATGTTCATCATTAGTAATATCATCTTCATAATGTTGTTCTCGGTTGCCCTTGACTTCTCGCTTCTTCCCCGCCCACCTTTCTCCCGATGGCAGCAGTGTCAATTTCGAATCCCTAGAGACTATCTGCAGCACAGTTGCAAATCAACATGGGGTGAGGAATGTGTCAGAGCTCAGAGGCGCAAGATCGAGTCCAGTAAATGGTAATTCAGTACGTTTCTTTTTTGAATTTGAAAGAAATAAAGAATTTCAAACTTCTCCACTCTCCAATGGCTACAACTGTTAATTGCAGTTGCTTCATTCAAGCAATTTCAGAAAGCACTTCTCCGGCATACTTGTCATCCCACTAGGCACTCGATCATGGATGATAAAGTTCTTCTCCCACACGGTTGGGGCGTTGGTGGTTAACTGAACCATGCACTGTGTTTTCACCGTAAGTGACCATGTTGGAGTCCATTTTGCACACAAGTTTCCTTTTTTTTTTTTGAAATTTAATTGGTACCCCATTCCTACCTCAACGTTCTTCTTCCTTAGCGTAACCCCTGCATCTCCATCTACGGGGGGCACTGTTGACCCTTACCTCGGGTATACTGGACACCTGCAAGGGTTTCCTTGCTAGCTGTATATGAAGTGGTTTTAGTGTTGTTGCCTGATGAGTGCTCATGTGGTATATCTGTGAAAGGTGGTCAACTCTCTAGCTCCACAAAATGGTGCTGAAGCCTAAGGGTGATGATCCACAAAAGGGGTGTTTTATAAAGGGTTTTTAAGCTTCTGGCCTCTGAGGACTTTTCTTTTCGCTTTTTCCCCACAATTGCCAGTGTTCTCGTTTTGTGAAGCATGTGACATGGGACACGCTGCCTACAGTTTCATTGCATGCATGGGGGTGGTGTTACGGACTCAGCCAGGGCTCAATCCCTGGTCCGTGGGTTACCACCCGCCAGGCTGCTATTTCATTTTTGGGTCTCTGTTCTCAGGCCCCTGACTGTTGGCACCCTCTGCAGTTGGCACCCGTTCTCAAATTCCTCTTTTGACACTTTCAGATTTCGATACTTGGCGCCATCCGGCATTCTGGCGCCCAGACTCAGACCTTCGATTTTCAGTTCAGCCCTAAGGCAATTTGCACTTCTGCCCTCGGTACTTAAGCCCGGACTCAAGCCCAGTACGGGCAACCAGTTTTCAGCCTCATTGCTTGTGTTCAGTGTGACTATGCTTCGACATTGTGTTCAGGAATCCAAGACTGTGACTTTGCGACTTTGCCACTTTGTGTCTGCGTCCATCAAGTCGTGTCGAATCTGCGTCGAGTTGAGTGAACATGTGTGTGTGCTCTCACTCTCCCTTACTCTCCCAGCCTCGCTGCCCTGTCTCCGCCTTGTTACACTGGTATCGGAGCGGTCTTGCGACCCTCCCCTGCGGCCCGGCATCAAGGCCAGGTCCATCAAACCTCGCTGATCTGCACTCGTCAACCAGGAGCATCCACTTCGCCGAAGTCGTCGCCGTGATCCGCCGTGTTCATCGACTCGTCGTCGTGCTCATCGACCCCAGCGCGCCACTCCGGCTCCTCGTCGCAGTTCCGGTCTGAACCTTAGCCGGCGTCACGACCAGGTGCGTGCGATTTTTTTATTTTTTCTTTTACTTCTTCAATCTTCCTACCCGATTCTTCTTCCTTCCCTGATTCTCTTCTTCCCCCCCGGTCGTGTCTTGCCCCCCGATTCTCTTCTTCCCAGTAGCGCGCTACCTCCCCCCCCGGCGCCGCGTCGTCCTCCTTCCCCCTCGCTTCCCGCGCTAACACCTCCGCTCATGATCTCGTCCTCCTCCTCCGATGCCAACTCCGCTCCCGCC